CTTCGCATTTACACGTTAGCTGTAACTCGCTCGAATTTGCGCCATTTTGGATTAGCCGCTGCGCCCCAGCATGATGAAGGGTGTCCGAGGTGGAGAGCCATAGGGTGTAGATCTCGATCACCTTCTCCCGGAATTCAGAGAAATTATGGTGCAGATCTCGTAGATCTGGACGGTGCAGAAAGGAAGAGGGAAGCCAAGTTTGTATACCGTATTTACTATCCTAAATCTAACGAATATGGGACTGATGTGTCAATTACCGACAAGGTGTGATGTGAGTGGAAATTCAGCACGATATTCTGTGTTTGGAAATTTCAAGGTGGAAATTTCCGGAATTTCCAGGAAATTTCCGCCAAGATGCTTCCGGGATTCTGCGCTAGCGCGCAGTCGGAATCGAGGGAGTACAAGAGGGGCAAGATTGACGAGTTGGAGAGTCGTTTCGTGGATCCATGCGTTACATTATCGATTGCGTGTCGCGTTCAGTTCGGGAGCCAATGATAACTCGAAAGGGATGTAGGTGCGTCAATCACGGTCACGTCTGACGATCCGTCAAAGCAGCTTTGTGAGAGACAGGTTTTCGCTCTCGAAAGACCTCGTTTCTGGGTGGTCGAATTCTGCTCAGTATGTCGAAGAAATCTGGTTTATCCATGTCTTTGAAGGCTTTCCTGTTATATTGACTATCTCTTGATGGCTCCCTCGTCGCGTAGGAGAAGCTTTGTCTTCGACCCCCGACCACTATAGCAGGTCAATGTTGTCCTGTAGACTACAGGCTGTAGTACAGCCTGTAGTCTACAGGACCTGTAGTACAGGTGCTGTAGTACAGAAGCAAGTATTACTTGCCAAGTAACTAGGTTACTGTAGCCCCAAGTTGAACTTCAAGACTTGAACTTAGTTCAAGTTCAAGTTCCCCTTGCTTCAAATTGTTCCAAGTGGCACCTCATGACGCACGACGAAGACTTGTAAGCGCTCGCCTTGATGATCGATTCCAGCCGTTGGGGCTTTTACGCACAACAACCAATTCTGACTCAGAATTTCTGAGCATCACTACGATACTCTATCAATGCGGAGAGCTATTCTTAATGCAAATGGAGCTTTTTTATAAACGAAACGTGCGTAGAGATCAGTAAATAGCCACTTTCGTTAGATTTCCTGGAAATTCAAGGGTCGTGGAAATTTTTCCGAAATTTCCTTCGGAAATTTCAGGAATGGAAATTGACACTTGCAAAAATCACACCCTGATTACCGACGTGCAAGCAAGAAGTCGCATTGCTGAAATAAAGTTGGCAGATGCATCGGTGTGGGCTGCCTATGAGCGGTATCGCTTGAGCGAAGATACTAGTGACACTTCATGAGTGCTACTACCAATTGATAATGCAAGTCTGAGAACGTCATTAGGTTGTGTTCATACGGCTCACATTATCCCCAGGTCGCAGCCGCATACCGGTTTGGTCGCATGTCGCGCGCCCCCGCACGGCGCGCGAGATTTACACGGAAATTTCCATTTCCATCGTTTCCGAAATTTTCCAAAGAAAAAAATTTCCTTTCCGCGAAATTTTTTTTGACGCTTGCCCGCCCGAAGGACAAACCCTGTATAACAGTTATACTATAACTCAAACTTTTCGAGCATATTCAGTAACGATGTATCACACTATGTCAATTGAGTGTGTTATCGTCCGTATATCACTGCCCATATATTACATCATTCTCCACGTTGCAAACATGATCAGTATGAACCGAGCAACACCAATAGAGTTATAACACTTGAGCCATATATCGAACACAGGTCATATACAACATTCCACGGTGGAGCGTTGGAGTCTCCAACATGAGATAGAAGCTCTAGGTAAATGGAGCTTGTGCAACCAAAGACACCAGTTGAATGCAAAAATATGAAATTCATTACACCAGCGCGTGAGTTCACATATACCATGGAACACGTCATGCTCATGCATTACTGTACCACTAATATGCGAAAATCCCAGAACCCGATTCATCGAATCAATCTCTCATCTCTCGTAAAACTGCTCGGACGATACTTCTGTGCGCGCCATACGCACGCATCAACATGTGGATTCGAACATTTCAAGACCAATCTCTGGTCACAGGATTCCAGTTTCAACCGTACTTGAGAGGGCACCCATTAGCATAAAGTTCGATGAGTAGGCGGATAATCAGCCAATTTCCACGGCTGTTTAAATTCAGTTTTTTTCATTTGCAGTCCTATTCAGTAGGCAGGTAATTAAAAGGTAAACAAGGATACAGGGTTCGATCTAAGGAGTCCTTAGATCGTCCTTAGTAAGGAGGAAATCTCGCTCGCCCTCGGGCAGTGCTCGACCAGCACTTTCTAAGGAACTTCAAACATTTTCTAAGGAGATTCTGCTTCTTTCTAAGGACCTTCTGCTTTTTCATAAGGAAGCCACCTCTCCACTTATAGGTCCTTTTGGCCTTGTTTTGCAGCTTAGCCTCGGATAACAGCCTCGCCTTGGATAACAGTTCGGGTTTCGGGTTGCCTTGGGTGTTAGGTTTCCCTTTCTCCGCTTTCACCTACAGTCCTCCCTTTTCTTATTGGTTTTGCGGACCCCCTTCTACTACAAAACGCTTCTTAACCCTTCTCAGGATGCTTATCAGTTGATAGTTAATAATTGATACCGTTGCCGACTTCTTTAAATCTCGAAATCTTAGCTTTGATAACGATAACTCAGCACTTTACAACCTTATATTGTCGTTACCCTCCGCCTGCCTGGAGTTCGAGGCTTCGGAATTCAGTTCCATACGCTACTACACAGATAAATACACTGAGAGGTACCAAGAAAAACCAATCGGCGGATACCGTGCTTCTAGCACGGTAAAGTAGAAAATTCCGTTTTACCGTTCGCTTGCCCATCTCGCTCGCTCGCCCATCTATCTCGCTCGCCCATTCTTCCAGGAAAATGGGCGAGCGAGATTGTCCCCTTGGGAATGGAGATCTTCCTTAGGCCGCAGGTCGCACCTGCGTGATTGCGTGAAAGGGTTTTTTGGCGCGCTCTCTCAGGGGCCCCCACCCCTGGCGCGCGCCGATGCCATCATGGCAGCAGTTCACTGGACTATAATAAAACCATTCTGATCATGCAATCAACAACATCTCGGTAACAACAACGTGAGCATGTTACAAACAAGGAAAGTCGCACGTGGCACTCATGAGCGATCCCGTTCGTGATGACAGAGGGAAGCGCCTACTAGGAGCGTTATAACGGACACAACGACCAACGCTGTTCGCTGGCTCACCTATTAGTCACGTCCTCTTCGCTCTGAGCGCATGTATGATCTCCGCCGAGTTCCTACGTAC